AATATTAAATTTGGGATATAGGAACTCAGTTCTTTTGAGTTGTTTGTGAAGTACTGAAATTTAATTCTAACCAAATCTAATTTATTTATCTGCTTGCTATTTTTAGCTTCTACGCTTCTAGGAAAAACCATAGCGGACGTTTAACTCGAAAATGTTTCGAGGCAGCGTTTTAATAGTAATAAAAATAACTACTTAGTTTTACAATATTAACACTGTTTTTGTTAAATATTAGGTTTAGGCAACTACATTTTCCCAGTTTTTTCTTGAAGAAAATGCAATTTTGGCGCAATATCTGGGGAAATGGAGGGATGGATAAAAGTTCCTATGTATATAAACGTTTCTAGGTAAGTTTAAACGGTTGAGGCCGAGCGTAGTTATCCAACAGAATCACGTTTCAATGCCTCTCCACCCACGGCACGAAATGAAAATAATCGAAAAATGTGTAAATTAAAACAGTTCCGAGACTGACGAATATTCAAAAATTCAAACAAATCCAAGAACTTCTGAAATGTTCTCATCGTTAATGTCAGTTCAAACAGCTCATTATTCCATCTTAAAAAATAATCATCGCTGCTGTTTTYTAAGTACTTTTGAGGAATTCGATTCGAGCGATGACTGCATTTATGTGCTGCGCATAATCAAATGGGAGTTTCATTCGTCGAACCAGAGCCATATTTATCTTTGAAATATCAGTTGTACCGTTTTTTTCTAGACCTATTTGAACCTATTTATATTGTTTTTCGTAACACTACAGGCATAAAACACCTGTTATTGTCACCAGAGGCTGTGTCAATTATTTAGATTAACCGCGATCTCACGGCATATATTGCCATTCAAAAGAGTTCGAAAACCTAGGGTGACAGCTTCAAAACGGGGAACTACGGAACACATTTTTTTTTTTTAAGTTTAAGGGTATATTTTTACATATTTTAAGAAAACACGGCAAATTTTTGARTTTCAGAAGATATTGGCCATAGAAAGACCTACTGTTTATTTATCCGGTTTTGCCTACCAAAATCGATTTGGTAATCAGATAAAAAACTGTTGGATTATGGACTTTATAGATAAACTCTTGTAGCTGATTGAACTAAGGAGCTGCACATTGGAACGCTGTAATTCAAAAAATTTACTTGAAACACGAAGATTATTATATTAAATATTGTAGTCTTTATACATATTAATTTATGTTCGAAAAATTTCAAATCGACCTTCTAATATCATATCCTACTAAATTGAAAAAAAAAACAAACATATTATAAATCGTAGACGTGCGTGTGACATACTTTGTTGCAATGTATAATACTAACAAAACGATTTGCGCTAAATTTTGGGAATCATTCGAAAACTTCTTTTGCAGTGACTTCAATGTCATGATGCATGTGCAGCAACACCAGACCGATTAATCTATCTTGAAGCACGTTCGCCCGAAGCCACGTTTTTATGCGGCGAAGTGTCGTAAAAGATCGTTCAGAGCTCACATTCGCACCGGAAGTGTGCAGAATATGCCAAGAACACTATGAATTATGGGGTATAGGTCTACTACATCGCGATTCTTCAACGTTTCCAATGCAGTAGTCGGTATCTTGTTGTCTTTGGATTTTTGCTTCTTCCCCCAATGGTACTACCAGTGATCAACTTCATCTTTGATTTTCAATCGTCGCATGACCTTGTCAATAACTAAAAGGCCATTGAATCTGTCTATCAAGAAGTCTGAAGATGATCAACTTCATCTTTGATTTTCAATCATCGCATGACCTTGTCATTAACTAAAAAGCCTTTGAATCTGTCTATCAAGAAGTCACTAAGATTTTCCATTTCTTTGTTTTTCAAAGTACACACTTTTTGCCCTTGAGGGGGGAAATGTCCTCCACTTCACCCCTCTGAATCCCACACTGATAAATCGCACTCAAATAATGTTTTTTTTATTTCACATATTTCCTTATAGCAAAAAGGTTTTAATGCAAGAATTATTTTTTTGTAATTGTATGCAAAAAATGCTATGGCGCTAAATGGGTTAAATGGAATATCTCTACYACAAGTTTAATATAAACGTTGCCTAACTTTAGGCGCTGACCGAAAGTTGCTTAGTGACGGCGATTTTAAGCTCAAGTGCACGGATGGTACACAACTGGCACCGTCCAGTAAAACATACATATAATTCCATATTTGTATGTGTGTTTATGTGTAAGTGTATTCAGATATAATTATGCGTATACATATATCTGGCTAAACAAATTCAGCTCTCTGCACACATTTGGAATCAATCTCAATTCAATGGCTTACCTACAGTAATTGCGCGGTAAAGAGTGTATATTGTCAACACAACCGGATGCGTGTAAATACAAAACAGATGATAAGCGATGGAAATATTATGTAATTTTGCGATTTATCTATTACTGTTTGAAGCAAGTTACACCCTTTTAATACTTACATTCGAGAGCATATTTCTCAATAAATTTTTCTGGTTTTATCTTTGTAAAATCAGTATATTTCCGGAACTAAACAAATCTCTAAACTATTCTTGCTGGGTAGTTGCTTATGTGACTGGCCGTCATTTCCTTTTCATCATCAACGAAATGACGGAAGTAAAATTGTCATCACACTCGTCATAACAACAGCGTATCGGATGTCCTTTCGCAAGCCAGTTTCCCAGAAAATATATTCACAGTTTTGGTATGTATGTATACTCACACATTGCTGACAGTTAGGAATTATTTTCATTCCTTTTTATTTCGCGTCTGTTCGAGCAATAAACGGTTTCGCCACTGGATTTACGTATTTATTAGCAGAGAGTTTAATATTGCGATGTATTATAATATTATTAAATTGTGAAAAACCGATATACACATATTCATATCTGGTGGGTATGGTACATGGATTTAGAGTTACCATATAGACTGGCCGATTTTGAAATTTCATTAGTTGTTCYCCAAAMGGAAACGTCRGAGACCTTAGGAAGTAAATATATGTATAAATTATCAGCGTGACGAGCTGAGTTAATTTAGCCACATCCATTTTTTGTTCATCARTCCATCTGTATATAACGAGTTTTTTAATAGAGACGCTACAAAAGAAGAGCAATGAGGAGAGCAAGCAATGCGGTGTACCATTTTAATACGGAAAGATATATCATCCAACGAGTCGAAATTATTAAAATTGATTATCAAAATTCGAAGTCAGTGGCCTCAACTCTCAGAGCGCTACGTCCAATTTATGGTGGTCATAATCGTCCCGTCAGATCAATAATTGAGCGTCTAATGGAAAAATTTGAATCTACAGGCACAGTACAAAATATCCCCGTGTCAGTGAGATAAAGAAGTGCCCGAAGTGTCGAGAATAWTACTGCCGCTAGCGCATCATTTGAGTATGACTCAAATCAATCCCTCACACGACGATCTCAAGCATTGGGCATCTGTGTGACGTCGTTGTGGCGAATTTTGCAAAAAGATCTTGGCCTACATCCTTACAAGATAAAAAAAATTGACGCAAGAACTGARGCCGCTCGATCAACAGAATCTTGGCATGTGTGATGAATAGGACTGAGTAACAATTTGAAATCCATCCGGAATKTCATCGAAAAATCATCTTCAGCGAYGAGGCTCATTTTTGGCTGAATGGCTTCGTCAATAAGATATGCATAATTGGTGAAGCAGCATTCTACACGTACTCTATGAGTCCCCATTGAATCCTGGGGTTTGGCGCAGTTTACGGGCCGGCGGTGTCATTGAGCCGTACTTTTTGTGTGATGATGAAGATCGGCACTTTACTGTGAATGGGAATCGCTACCGCTCAATGATAGATGAATACTTTTGACCAGAAACAGATGATATGGACTTGGACAATATGTGTTTCCAACAGGACGACATCCCAAGCCCCACAACGAATATCACAATCGATTTATTGAAAACCAAATTTGGTGAACGTGTTATCTCACGAAATGGCCCAGCCAATCGGCCGCCGAAGATGTCTATGTTAACAAGCTGATGAACTTCGTGCGAATATCGATATGGATGCAATGGAATTGCAGCAGTATCGGCCGATTTATGCTAGAAAACCTGCGAAAATTCAGCGTCTGTATTTCGTGCTCGCCCGTGGTGGCCATGCAAAAGAAGAAGAGTTCCATTCATAATGRCATCGAATGTACTTTAACAGGAATAGAGAATTTCATTGATATCCCAAACCGTTTTTGATTTATTTACCATTGTAGTTTTTGAGATATGGAATAGATTTTTATAAATACAAATTTTTTCTATTATACTTTCTTCGATCCACTTTTATTGAAGTAATGTTTAAACGTATGCCTTTGTCTAGATATACTCGTACATATAAATTTAATTTATTTAAAAGCACGAAAAGCTCTTAATGCTAATTATATTATTATATATAAAGTTCTTATATACCTATATAAGTATATATATAGGTATACACGAATTTTATAGCGCCTAAGCCCACATACTGACATACAAACATACTGTCGTTTAATTTATACTCCGAGATATCGCTCTTTTTGCTATAACTTYTAATAATTATGAGTCTATTTTTCTACTTATTCTTGCTAATTTATACTAATAGTAAAAAAAGATGATAGAAAGCATCTTTAATGACAGTTGTGTGATAAAAAACTACAACAGCGGCAGTAATAACATCTGCGGGTGTGTGCAAATAATTGAAGTGTCAAGCTCATCGCATTTGCTTTGATTAAAATGAGACGGTAAACAATATGGGAAACTCATGCCTCGACGAAGATACACATACATATAAATATGCAATAGAGCGGGTCGATTTACAGGGAGCCAAAAAAAAGACGAAGAAATTTTGTATGCGAAAAATGTGCTGCGGATCATTTAGAATAACTTTACTTAAGAAACTGTAGGTCAAAAACCGGTTTCGGCCAGTGATTTTTAACAATTTCGTTTGATGACCACAGCTGATCCTATTGAATCTGTTCGCATATTTGAACAGCTGATAAAGTAAGGCTTGCTTGTTAAAAAAATTCCTAAATTTTTTGAAACAGTTTGCATTTGGTGCTCTATCGAAATGGTAGATTGAAAACAATGTGGTGATGTGTATGGATAAAATGTCTTGAATRAATGTCAATGCAAAAATTGGTTCGCCAAATTTGGATTCGGCAATTTTGATCTTGAGGATACCCCACGTCTTGAAAGGCTTTAAARCCGAAGTGATTAAAATAAAGCCGTTGGTCGATTCAACTAGTCTTGTTGGTTGAGTTCTGGTTTTTTTGGGTACCTTGTACGCAGACTTTTTGTAGTCTAGTATGTGTACATATGTTTGATAGAAGGGCTGCTGATTTGAGTCATGGTGAAAAAAAATAGTAATTTCTATGAATTTGCTCGTTTCAAAAGCCGACCTAAAAAATATTTAGTTACAAATTCTGATCTTGTAGTATAAAGACAGGTATCGAATGAAAGAATATTTACCTCTTGTGCTCTCGGCATGCATGGAAAGTCAGTAGTAATCCTAATAACAAAACACTTCTCAATCGTGCCATAAAGGAGCTGAAGCATGTTCTGTGGAAATTTCGCTACAAGTCCCTAGAGACGTTTCTGGTTGCTGCCAGACCAGAAGATCCAGTAAGCAGTCTTTGGAATTCGACTAGGCAACACAATAAGCSGATATCTAGATGTCCAACAATTTTAAACAGTAGAGGCCTTTGGTGCAGAACCTATGCAGAGAAAGCCGAGGTGTTTGTCACCTAAAAGACACGTTTACTCCTAAAAAGTTTGGTGACGTATCTAGCAATGCGACAGTCGGCAATTTTTTTGGATGCTGTTTATCAAACGAAAATTCCCATTGCTGAAATAGATGCTGTAGAAATGCATGAGGAGATCAAAGTATTAGTAAACAAAAAGKTACAGGTTATTACAGAATTAATGCGTTTGTACTTACGGCGCCACCCGAAAAAGTAATGAACATGATTGTCAGGCTTTTTAACGGAATACTCATATTTTGTCATTTCTCATCACACTGGAAATRTGCTGAGGTTATTTTAATTCTTAAACCCGGAAAACCTGAATATCTGGTTAATTCTTATCGACCAGTCTACTGGTAATTATTCGAAAGAATATTTTTACACAGGCTTTTGACGGTGTTGGAATAGAAACAGCTCCGCTGTGTTCCTTGATGTCCCAAGCATTTGACAAAGTCTGGTTAAATTRAAGGAAAAATTACCAATACGTTAAAATTTTCTGCTAAGGTCTTACGTGTCCCAAAAGCATGTGCTTGCTCTTGTGCTCTGAATTCTTTATAAAGCAGAGCTTCCAGTGATCAACTCTGACTCCACAATGACGGCAACCTATGCTGATTATACTGATAATATAGATAAAGAGATGTTTAACTCCTCTCTCACTGGAAGTGAGAGAACAATTGCTAAACGTCAAAACCACCTAAAC